GCTTTAACTTTCAAGCCTCATAACTTGGAAAGTACTTAATGAAACGTAACTTTATTATAGTGTTTCGGAAAGCTCACGAGATAAGCTACAAGAATATATAATAAAAAATAGGAATTTCCATTTAAAAAACATTAATGACCTTGACCTGATTTTGACAAGTCACTCAAGGTCAAGTTCATATTTCCATTATGTGTCCTCTTTCAAGCTATGCAATTTTCATTCGAAAAATTTTTCAATAAAATCATCGAGTCGCGAGATAATCGACCATATCACTTAAAAGGAAACACCCTGTATATACAGGGTGAGGAAAAAGTATGGAAACCATTAAAAATCTCGAAAGATATAAGTTTTACAGAAAAGTGCTTCAGACAAAAGTTAGGCTCAAAACGATGTGTTCACTGATCTTATCAGCTTGAGTAACGTTGTCGAAGTCAGGTCAAGGTCAACTTAATTTTTTTAAACGGAAACCCTTATTTTTTATTATATCATCTTTTTCTACTAATTTGAACAACTTTTGTCTGAAATATTTTTTTATTTACCTAATCTGTTTTGAGATATTTAAGAAAAACTTGATAACTTTTTCAATACTTAACTTACGATATTTCGCTATTTGTCGGAAGAAAAAATGGTACTAGAAAAAAATGGTAGACTTTTTTACTGTGTATTTGGTCTCAAGAACATATTGTTACAATAGTCATCTACCTTTTGACGACTTACCGACTTTGGGAAATTTCAAAATCAAATTAACAAAAATCAGGGTGTTATTATAACAATATATTCTTGAGACCAAATAGAGTAAAAAAGTCTCAGAGCATTTTTTCTTCCGACAAATAGTTGGCGAGATATCGTAAGTTAAATATAGAAAAAGGTTCCGAGTTTTCCTTACATATCTCAGAAAATATTAGGCAAATGAAAAAATGTTTCAGACAGAAGTTATTAAAATTAATTGGTAGAAAAAGATGATATAATAAAAAATTGGAATTTGTTTACAAAAAATAAGTTGACCTTAACCTGACCTTGGCAACGTCACTCCAAACTTATAAAATCAGTAAATACATCGTTTTGAGCCTTATAACTTTTGTGTAAAACACTTTTCTGTAAAACTTATATCTTTCGAAATTTTTAAAGGTTTCCATACTTTTTCCTCACCTTTTTCCACCCTGTATACAGGGTGGGGGGTTATAAGTTTACAACCCGAAGTGTGAAGGTAGATTGGGTTAAGACGAACATAAAAGTCCCATACCGTTTTGCGAGATTCGTAATAATTCACGAGTTATTAATGACAGAAATCTGAGGAGTGGGAGCGCGTCGACGTAGATGATTGGAGAAGCGTTGCAGCTGCTTAGGCCGCAGCACGGCCCAGTCGACCCAGTAACTGTTGCCGGTGTGCGGCGAGGGGAAAAACAATGCGCTGCTATTCGTTGTTTTATCTCGCCGGACCTACGTCTCGCCGCACACCGCTAATAGTTGCTGGGTCGAGTGGGTCGCGGTGGTTTGAGTAGCTACAATGCTTCTCCAATCATCTATGTCGGCGCGCTCCCATTCCTCAGATTTTTGTCATTAACTCGATAATTATTGCGAATCTCGCAAAACGGTATGGGACTTTTATGTTTGTCTTAAGGGGGAACCTGGTTTATAGAGTCAAGATTTTCGAGTTTTTTTTTGCTTCATCGATAGTTAAACTATTCAAGAATATATTCCCAAAGTTTCAGAGCCCAATTCAAAGTATTTTAAAAGTTATAGAATACATGATGAGTCAGCGTCGCACAAGTATACGATCGCTCGGCCGGAGTGGGTCGCGCGCTCACCCGATACAGATACGTGCTATATGCCGGTACGATATTTGATTACACATTTCTATAGATTGTCACGTAGGTGTGAGTGTATGCGTGTCTATGTGTGTGTACGTGTGTATAGTTTACAGTTTCAACGATCAGTCTTGCTCTGATTCTCGACGAGTAAAGAGTTTCTATTTAGCAAAAGTCGTTTGACAGTTTTAAATATGTATCCAAAAGGCTGAAGAAGTACTTCGCAGCGCATTTCGAAACCGCCGAAAAGAAGATTTCGTGGCAACCAGCATTCCAAAAATGAAAGTGATAATTTAGACGAGAGCATCAGTGCGAAAAAATTAAGTACAGCGAGTACTGATAATATTATTGTGAATCCATTACATTATTATTAGAATCATAGAAAAAAACTTATAAGTCCATTTTGACTTTGAATCCGTATGGTGAAGATTGCCCCGTAAAAAAAAGTGAGTGCGTCGGACACGTTCAGAAGCGGATGGGGACGCGGCTTCGAAATATAAAAAAAAAGGAGAAGCTTGGAGGCAAGGGGAGATTGACCGATCTCGTCATAAAAAATTAACCACTTACTACGGTTTAGCCATAAGACGAAATGTAGATTCTGTGGGTGATATGAAAAAAAGCATAATGACAACACTCTACCACTATTGCTCGACCGATGAAAAGCCGAAACATGAAAATTGCCCTGCAGGCGCTGACAGTTGGTGCGAGTGACGCAAAGCTGAAGCCGCCGGTCAACTCGTAAACTATAAACATCCTGCTCCAGTTATAAATTGAATGATATTGAGAAACACCTTACTTCGATCTATGAAGATCTTTTGACTAGATGTTTAGGCGGGCACACACAAAATTCCAACGAATCCTTCAATTCGACTGTGCGGTGTATCGCTCCTAAACACCTCAATTCGGGCTTTAAAATTGTTCAAATCGCTGCATATTTGGCTACTGGCATCTTTAATGAAGGCTACATTGCCATTTTATTAACAATGCAGTTATTAGAAATCAATATCGGCCAGCAATGCAAAATGTTCGCTGATAATTACGATGCGCAGCGAATTACGAGAGGGGAGCGGCGCCGAAGCAGCACGACCAAGGAAGCTCGCACAGCTCGTAGACTGGAGCAAATGCAACGAAACGAGTTTTATGAAGCTGAAGGCTTGCAGTATGGCCCTGGTATAGCTGATTAGCATAAGATTGCGGTAAGTCTCCAATAAATGATATTTTTTTGTACCACAAACTTTAAACGCGTTTTTCTCGAAATATCATTTTCGTACTTTCTTAAAATCTGCGGGGAAGATAGAGAAAAAACTAATTGATCAATCGACTTGATTCAAAGTGCGTTAGCTAGAGAATGAACAACCATTCTATGTGAACCTCAAACATTGGTAAAAACATTAATTTAAATAATTGTTATTGCATAAAAACAGGAGGAAATTTTTTCTCAAAAATGTCATTTTTTTGTTCAAGTGCTAAAAAGTTTTGTATTTTATGGTTTTTTAACCATGTTGTTGGTTCACATAGAATAAAAATATATGAAAATTAATAATCTTTTTGGTTTTTTTGTTTCAGATCAAAATTGCAGGCTATATTTTTCCCGCAGATTGGCAACTCGGTTGACGAGGCGCTTTAATTAGAGATACACCATGGCGCCATTTTGCAATTATTTTATAATATAAAAATTTTTTTTACATCTTCAAATAGGCAGTTAAATATTATAAAAGTTTTAGGAACCTCAACTGCATCATTGTCAATAAAAAAATTCATAAAAATCTCCTCTTTTTTAGCCTCTTAAACCAGGTTCCCCTCTTAACCCAATCTACCTTCACACTTCGGGTTATAAACTTATAACCCCTCACCCTGTATATGCATACAGGATGTCCCAAAAGTAATGGACACCCTAATAACTCTTCAGTATTGAAGTTTGAAGGAAAATGATCTGAATAAAAGTTGTAGAGATTTAAATGAGCTATAATGACCTTAACTTTGACCTTGACCTCTATTTTCAAGGTCATTTGAAGGTCAATTTGCGTTTCTTAAATGGGAATCCTTATTGTTTATTACACTGTTTTTTCTACTAGTTAATTTGAACGACTTTTGTCTAAAACATTTTTATATTTGTTTAACATTTTTTGAGATATTTGAGGAAAACTTGATAACTTTTTCAACATTTAACTTACGATATCTCGCTACCTATTTGTCGGAAGAAAAAGTGGTACTAGACTTTCTTGCTTTATTTAGTCTCAAGAATATATTTTTACAATAGCACTCTGATTTTTGTTAATTTGATGATTTTAAAATTTCCAAGTCAGTAAGTTAACAAAAGTCAAGGCGCTATTGTAACAATATATTTTTAAATATATTTTTAAAATGGGGACTCTTATTTTTTATTACACTGTTTTTTCTATTAGTTAATTTGAACAACTTTTGTTTAAAACATTTTTTTATTTGTCTAATATTTTTTGAGATATTTGAGGAAAACGTGATAACTTTTTCAATATTTAACTTACGATATCTCGCTAACTATTTGTCGGAAGAAAAAGTGGTACTAGACTTTCTTGCTTTATTTAGTCTCAAGAATATATTTTTATAATAGCATTCTGATTTTTGTTAATTTGATGATTTTAAAATTTCCAAGTCAGTAAGTTAACAAAAGTCAAGGCGCTATTGTAACAGTTGACCTTCAAATGATCTTGAAAATAGAGGTGAAAGTCAAAGTTAAGGTCATCATAAAGTAGCTCACTTAAATCCTTACACTTTTATTCAGATCATTTTCTTGAAACTTCAATACTGAAGAGTTATTAGGGTAGTCCGTTACTTTTGGGACACCCTCCCTGTATATGCACGTGCGCGCGCGCGCTCTCACACACGCACACGTACACACACACACACACACACACACACACACACACACACACACGCACGCACGCACGCACGCACATACACACACAGCAGAGAGGGAGTCGTTAAATACTACGGGAGTGACACACACACACACACACACACACACACACACACACACACACACACACACACACACGCACGCACGCACGCACGCACACACACACACACACACACACACACACACACACACACACACACACACACACACACACACAAAATGAATAATTACGAATGAAAACATCTTACGTAAAACATATAGACGTTATTGACTTTTTCTACCTATAATAACTTTACCTGTATAACGACGTCTTGATACACAAAAATTGAACATAGTGATACTGTTGTGTAGGCTGTGGTTGCCTGTTAAAAGAAACATCTAATCGCTCGCATAATGTTTCAACCATAGATGACCTCAAACATAAAAGTATGTCTAGCCAATCCAACCCTGTCACCAAACAATATTCTAATAATGTACAGGCATAACTTAATGTCATCGATGTACCTATAAAATCATATAAATCATTTTAAATGTGTAATCCTTAATTAAAAATCCTTCTTTACTTAAAGATGAGTACAACATTTATGCAATTAATATAAATAACAAGAAATACATATCATACCTGTAGTACCATCTGGCAATAATTTATAGAGATACAGATTGCCATGAGTATCACATGCAAGAAGTACACATCCTAACCATGAAAGATCCATATGGGAAATAGATATTGAACTTTTAAAATATTTGCTATTAGGTTCATCTTGACGCCAACCCATATTTAAAGACGAAAATGTCACTTCTTTCAGACAGTCCAAGCGATTTAAGCAATGTACCGAAGAGTCCGCTAATGCTATTATTATATAGCTTGGAGGTGGTAATGTTGTCACTATAGATAGTTTCGTAGTCGCTATCGCCGTTACTGGTGATTGACAGCGATATTGTGATTGATATTGCCAAACCTATAGTACAATAAGAAATAATAACAATATATAATATTTATTCGTTCGATTGTGAAATATGATAATTTGAAAAATAATTTTAAATAAAGTACCTTATCTGTTTCATGCAATGTTCAATTTAGAAAACCAAAAATTCTTTTATAAAAATTCAAAGTCATCATGCATTTTTCAAATATAATTTTTTTTAAATGCAACGGCATAATGTTTAAAAATAATTAAATACTTACAACTGTCTTGAAAGGTTCCAAACTCTTTGGTTGAAAAAGTTTATGAACAGGTTGTGACTTTTCACGCAACTCCCATACCTCTATAAATCCGCCATTTTCGCTATTTGCCGCGATAACAAGAGAATCTGCATCTTCCCTGACTACAAATTTTAGGTGTGTTACAATTGTACCTATAAAGAAAATAGAAAATTTGTAACTCTAAAGTAGAAAAGAATCCGCGCGCGCGGACACACATACACACGCACACACACACACACATCTTTGAGTACTTCTGGATTATGTATACTTTTTCCTAACTACAAATTTTTTTAACAATTTGTTTTTTATTATAGCTCATGGTTAATTTTAAGTTTTAAATTTGATTTTTAATTATATTTAAAAAAGTTTGCATTAAAAAATATTTCTCAAAATAACAAGTTATGAAAGTCGCTTGTTACTTAAGAATTTTTTTTTGTTTGTATTTAGACTCATAATTTTTAGGATATATCCTAAATATACAGGGTGGTCTATTTTAATCAACAAATGGAAATATTTCGTCAGGTAAGCCAGATCGCGAAAAATGTTTCAAACAAAAGTTATAGGGTTTAGAGGAGGACATCTTACGGTGACCTTGGATTATCGTTTGAAGATCACGTTAAGGTCAACTTTAAAATCTTAAATGGAACTTCCCATATTTTATTGCATATTCTTATAGCCCTTGTCGAGACGTTTTCAAAACACTACCTACTTTTGTCTTTTGCGTAAGCTATTCCCAAGATATAAAACTTCAAAGTTGATATACCACCGGCATTCGCATTACTTGATGTACACACCAATCGTGCGCAATCATTCACAAATAATCTTTAATCAATAACTCAAAATTTTATGTAGTTTCATGTAAAATACAAAATAATAGGAAATAATACATCATAGTAGCCCTAAAAAGGGCCGATTTTGTGTGTTGTTGTGGGGGGGGGAGCTCATTTATCATAGATGTTCGAAAACGCCGCCATCGACAGCTCGGCACACTCGACTCGAACTCGCTTTTCGAAACTTTCGACGAGTTTCAGAAGAACGTTTGCTGGAATCGCTTGACACGCATTTCTAATACGATCCATCATATCCTGCCGCGTCGTTGACGGTTGACAGAACACAGCATCTTTCAAAAATCCCCACAGATAAAAATCCGGAGAAGTAAGATCGGGTGATCTTGGTGGCCACCAACTGGACCATCCCGACCTATCCATCGATGAGGGAGAGTGGCATCGAGGTGATTCCCGAAGTAAACTATGATGTACAAATCCGACCGAGCAACCTCCCCGCGGTGTACATCGGGTAATGCGAATGCCAGCGGTATGTTAACTTTCAAGCTTCATATCTTGGGAGTGGCTTACGCAAAAGACAAAAGTAGGTAGTGTTTTGAAAACGTCTCGACAAGGGCTACAAGAATATGCAATAAAAAAATGGGGGGTTCCATTTAGGATTTTAAATTTTACCTTAACGTGACCTTCAAACGACAATTCAAGGTCAAGCCAAGGTCAGATGTCCCCCTCCGAACCCTACAACTTTTATTTGAAACATTTTTCGCGATCTGGCTTACCTGACGAAATATTTCCGATTAAAATGGACCACCCTGTATAAACAAATTTAATATTTGTTGTATAAACCTGTATAAACAATTTATTTTACATGAATTGTCCTTGGGTGCTCCATCCTGCAGAAAGAAACTTGGTAAAGCCTGCGAAGTGATAGTGCATTTATCATCATTTCTACGCACTAGTACCCTGTAACATCTTATTGGCAAACAAATATTACCACTGCTAACCGCAACAAGGAAGTGACCATCTAAAATTTATAAAAAGTTTATTCTTACAGTATAGCTATTATCTATCATTGTAAATTATTTTTACCACATAACAATACTTTTTCCATAACACAAATCAACCGCAGTTATTCTATGCCTTGTGCTACCAAGACTTTCTGTTGAATAGCAAATTGGCACTTGCAAATCCTTCGTGATCATGACTGCACCAACCATACCCGTTGTCGACACTACTAAAACACCTTCAGCTGCTCTGCCACCAAATTGCCTCACCGAAGGAGCAAACAGGAGATGGTTAAATTTCTCATTATAATGAATACTATCCTTTTTCTCTGTTACTAATCCTGTCTAAAATTAATGAAATAATAACAGATAATTAAGAAAGTAGTAATATGTTGGATAATCCATTAAAAGTTCTAGAAGTATAAGTGAAAGTTTTTATTTACAAAAAAAAAAACTCATCAAATATTCAATTGATTGAAACATTCAAAATTGATTTGATATTTCTTAAAAAAAAAAAAAAAAAAAAAAAAAAAAAAAAAATTAGATATAAAAATTTTAAACCCATTTTTAACAGGTAACTATTTTAAGATTTAGGCAGCAAAATATTTCAGAAAAGTTAATTTAATATAATTGATTGTGACAGAATATCATTGGAACGATAAGAAACATAGAAAAAAGCATTAAACAAAAGTTTATAGTATTTAATATTCTTATAATTATGCTTTCTGATTTTTCAGAAATATATTTTTTTAATATATTTTCCGTTTCCATTATTATTTTCATAAATATCCAAATTCTTGAAAGGACAAAAATTAAAGAAAATTTTAAGTGCATTATACTAAAAAATAAAAATCTTACAATTCAGAAACTAGAATATCCTAAAAAATTGTAATAGCAAAATCCAAGTAACAAAACAATATTCCAAAATATTATAGAACATTATTTCCCTAAAATATATATTATTCAGAAGAGGAACTATTATTCTGAAAATAGAACATACAGATATATTATCTACTCTATATAATACCTACTCATTTGAGTTTATAGTTTACACTCTTGCTGTACTCAAATAAATAGATACTAAAACATCTGACTACAATAAAACAATTCCAATATTTCAGTAAAATTATATTTTGGAAAATTGTCAAGATATTCAGATTTCAATACACTTTTCAAAAAATTATTCTAATTTAAAAATTTTATTATTCTTTTTGGAACAATATGTGTCATTACTTAAATTTTACTTCATAATTAATTTACTTCATAATTAAATTTTACTTCATAATTTCAGTTTCAGCTTCATATATAGAAAAATTATTTTCTAAAATTGTTTTTAGAATATAAACTATTACTAACTGTAATATTAAACTATTAATGTTATACTATATGCTGTTAAGAATGTACTATATCCTGAAACAGCTTTTACATCATAACACACATAGCAGTATCTGTACAATATATACTATAAATTCAAATTAGAAATTTAATCAAATACAGATAAATTTTAAATAAAGTTTTAAATATTACAGAAGTATTAATAGAAATAAAAATATTGAAATATACTGAAAAATTAGTGAAAAATCGAAAATCATAATTATTTAAAGTTTCATCTACATGGAGCTTCTAAGGCTCTTTTATCAAAAATCAAATGCAATAAATATAATAGTAATAACCTGTCATACATATTAATGTTACTATTTTATTATTTTACTAAATAAACTAAATTAAAAAAAGTAAAATATTTTAGAATTATTATAATCAGGTATATTGTACTAAGAGTCTCTGAGGCTTTTCTGTCCATTTGTTATAAAATAATTTTATCTTGATGAAGGTTAAATACTATATAAATTTTATATTAAGTCTATTTTTTCATATCTCTTGTAGTTTTAGATATATTTATCCAATCCATTTTATTGAATTAAATTTAAAAGTTTTATTTTTTGAATCTCAAAATGAACGCAAATAAAATATATTTTAAATATTTGATTATAACAGTTGAAAGAATATATCAAATCAATTTGATTAATTGTAACAGACTTTTGTCAACATAATTAATCAATTCGAATAAATACCTTTTTGCCATTATGAAACCAAGCTACGCCTAATATATGTTCACCAGGAAAGCATGTAGAACCTATTAAAATCCAATCATTTAACACATGATCCTTCAACATCCATAGCTGTACATTTCCAGCTACATCTGCCACTACTAATTTATCACCAGGAAGATCCCATTCTAATGCAGTAATATTGTGTCGATTTGAAAGAATTCTATAAATATAAACAAATACTTGTTTATAATTGTATTTAACATTCCAAATTTATTAAAATCAAGTCATAAATTTCATAAATATTAAATGATAACAAAAAGTATTTTATTTAATATCATAAAGAAAATATTACTTTTTAGATTAATACTTACTTATGAGCATGCCATGGCATATTCATATCTGTTACATAAACATGACAACCTCGTGTCTTGCCACTATTGTCATCCAATTCTGTCATTGTAGTAAATGCTGCTATATTTCGACTGGATAAAGAACATAAGGATTGTCCATCATATAAACTAAAAATTGAAACTCATATAAATATTTACTAAATACTGCAAAAAATATACAATTATTATTGTATTAGGAAAAATATACCATTCTTGATTAGAAAAAAACTTAGAGGAGGTCCTTCTGTTAACTGTATACAGTAGATCCATTTTTATATATTTTAAACAACACTATATATTTAAACAACACTTCACTCACATTTGTACTATATTTTTATTTACTTCATTATAATTTGAGTCCTATCTATTCTATAGCCGGTTGCACACAGGACGCGTCACGTTCGTCAGGGGGTTCAATTAAATTAAATTCAATAGATGGCTCTGGGCAAGTTGGGTACATAGCAGAGAGAAGCCTGAAAGCGGCCACGCCGGCGTTTTTGGCGACATGAATTTTGATGACTGATTTTAACGCCATCTGCGCCCATTTGTAGCCGGGAACTACGTTGACTACGCCCATTTGCAGACGCTGCTGGTAAAGTCTCTATTTGGTGCGTGTCCATTCTATGCCCATTTACTGGCGGTTCGTGTCTGTGGTACGCCTATAATTGCGGGTTTGAGAAACACGGCATCGCGCACAAACTTACACCTCGTTCAACAGCACATGATTCTTTTTCTGTACATATGCATTTCTATACATATTTTTGTAAAAAATTGCATCTTCTAATTATTATCCGAATTATTATCTCTTGTTACATTCGTAATTTGTAACAAGAGCAGGCGGTAATTTCCAGTCGACACAGAGCATTAAATATATTACATTTATATTAAAATTTCGCACTCAACACCATGTGTGTTATCAGAGAGAGTGGGCATGGCTGCATTTACAGCGTTATGAGGTGCTTACGGATAAGTGCCCGGGGTCAGTTTGGAGTTAGTGGTACACACGTCTCTCTAGAATTCATGTATTTCATGTTTTGCCCCGTCGTGTCTCTTTGAGTGTCCCGGGTCAGTACGAATAAAGTATACGAGATCCATGCGATTATTTTAAAAGGTTAATATTACATTTATTTATAAATAAAAATATAGAAATTATGCTAAATAAAGAATTTTTAAATTTGGTAATTATCCAGTTTAAGGGCTCCGCCTTAGAATTCGATAAAAATAGACTCAATCAACGCGTTTTTTAATAAGGAACAACTTTTTCCTCTGCGAAAATTGTCGCTCTTCACTGCGAAATGAAATAAAAATAGTTAAAGTTGACTGGTATAATAGGTTAGGAAACCTGTCAAGATTCCGGATGGGTTCGCAACTTTCCACGCGCAACGTGGACGGGGTGGATGCGGAAGGGAGGGGCCCCTTCGCACCCCCCCGTGTATGTGTGTATGTACATATGTTGAGGCATTTTTATTTATTAAACCAACGAATATTGTACACTCATTAATTTAGTAAAGCAGAAAATTTTAGTACAATTTTAATAAGGTGAATATCTTTCATCAAATGTCCTTAACTTATCAGTTTCGTCATAAAAAAATTATTAACAATTAAAGATCATAACTATCGATTCCACATTTATTTTTAATTTTTTTAATTTATCTTATTAAAATTGTACTAAAATTTTCTGCTTTACTAAATTAATGAGTGTACAATATTCGTTGGTTTAATAAATAAAAATGCCTCAAACATATGTACACTCAGAGGCAGGTATGGTGTCCCTCGGCAATGTATACGCCTGTAAAACAATCGAAAGCCATGACAAGCATATACGCATATGCATATGGGCGTACTGTACAGCGCGAGAGAAGCGAAGAGGGAGAAGTGGTGGAAGACGTTCCGATGTTACATCCTTATCGCACGTCGCACGATCGAGAGAGAAAGCATTACCAGATGTAGTACGGTTAATGATGTCCCCAATAGCTGTCTCACTCTCTCTACGCTTGAATGCAGGCAATATGAGTGAGACAGCTATAGAGACATCGCGCTGTCTCTATAGGTGTCTCGCTCGCTCTAATAGCCATATATCGCGCTTTCCTCTTTTCTCCTTAGCAGAAATGCCGATCAAGGAGGCAATCTTGTCTATAGGCCAGAAAAATAAGCTATTTTCGCGAATTTTTTTTTTCGGAAACTAAGCAGACGATTGATCTCAAACTTGATAAAAATAATAATATATATTTTATTGGTGAGAATGAATTTTTATAGCGTTATAATAATAATGTAGCAAATATACAAAAAATAATGTGACGTGTTTAGGCGCACGCCGTTTCACGGTTCCTATAAAATCTCGAAATACGGTAGACTGGGACAAAAACGCAAGTAAAATAATTAATCTACGAACTTGCCGCTAACTCGTTTGAATTAAGGAAATAAAAACGAACTACTTTTTTAATATTTTAAGGTATTTAAAAATTATATTTGAAAAATCGTCATAAATATCGATGATTTTACGTTAAGAATTTATTTATTTGCAAGAAAACGATATTTCATGAAATTTACGAAAAAAATTATTTTATGCCGTGAGATATGTCAAATTGTTAGATATTGCAATTCTTTTTAGACGCAACATATCTTTACTTTTGGAAAGACTACGAGAAGGAGGGAGAATAAATGCAACATCTTCCTTAAAATGCTACTTAAAATATAGGCTCCGCTCTTGAAAATATAAAAAAAAATTAGGAGACATTTAATAATAATAAAAATTACAATAATAATAACGAGACGCTATATAGCATCTCCTGAAATCAGAGAAAAAACTTTTTTTTATATAAAAAAGTTGATCGATCGACTTCAGCATCTAATTACATATTCGAAACATGTCTATCTATCGTGTGAAATCTAGCGAAATCTAGCGAAATCTAGCGGAATAAATAAATATTAATTTTTTATATGCACTTCGCTATCTCTATAGGTGTCTCATTTGCTGTAATAGCCATGTATCGCGCTTTTCTCTTTTATAACGCCATAAAAATTCATTCTCACCAATAAAATATATATTATTATATTTATCAAGTTTAAAATCAACCGTCTGTTTAGTTTCCGAAAAAAAATTCGCGAAAATAGCTTATTTTTCTGGTCTACAGACAGGATTGCCTCCTTAATCTGCATTTCTGCTAAGAAGAAAAGAGGAAAGCGCGATACATGGCTATTAGAGCGAGCGAGACACCTATAGAGACAGCGCGGTGTCTCTATAGCTGTCTCACTCATATTGCCTGCATTCAAGCGTAGAATGAGCGAGACAGCTATTGGGGACACCATTAACCGTACCACATCTGGTAATGCTTTCTCTCTCGATCGTGCGACGTGCGATAAGGATGCAACATCGGAACGTCTCCCACCACTTCTCCTTCTTCGCTTCTCTCGCGCTGTACAGTACACCCATATGCGTATATGTCCGTCATCGCTTTTGATTGTTTTACAGGCGTATACGACATCGCCGAGGGACACCATACCTGCCTCTGAGTGTATACACACGCGCACACACACACGGGGGGTATACACCCACCCCGTCCTCGTTGCGCGTGGAAAGTTGCGAACTGTTACGTTTGCCACAGCTTATGATGTGGCGAAACGAATATTGGGAAGGAACGAGAAATCAGCTTATATGCCTCCGACTGTTAACTGACTTTATTTTATAATTCTCAACAAGAGTGTAATACCGCTCGAAAGAGAGAGGGACTAGGTGTTCGTTTGAGGATTGCTAGCAGGGAACTGATCTGGTGAGCATAGGAAAAATGACGGTAAGGAAGGGAAGGGAAAAGATAAAATTCCCGCGAGGGTAGTCATGGCTGATGATGAGAGATTCGGCAGGAATTCGGGGATATGACATCTATTAGTTTGTTATTTTAGGATAAGATCGGTCATCAGGATTAGATAAGGCAGGTATGGAGGAATATACGTCGTGGTCGCTGTTGCGATGATTCACATAAGATAATACAACTATATACATTGCGGCACGTAACAGAACCCATCCGGAATCTTGACAGGTTTCCTAACCTATTATACCAGTCAACTTTAACTATTTTTATTTCGTTTCGCAGTGAAGAGCGACAATTTTTGCAGAGGAAAAAGTTGCTCCTTATTAAAAAACGCGTTGATTGAGTCTATTTTTATCGAATTCTAAGGCGGAGCCCCTAAACTGGATAATTACCCTAAACTTTTAATTTATCACGTATTTTATTTTGTATTTTGTTTTAATTCATAAATATAGAGTGCTGCATTTATAAACATTTTTTAACCTTATTATTTATTAACATGTTTATTATTTAATAATTATTCTATTATATATTTATGATAAATGACACCAATTACATTTATATTTACACATTATATTACATTTAGATGTACACAGGAAGGAAAATGGAAGTTATAGAAATCCTTTACAGCATGAAATATCGCAGAAACATTGCAGCAATATTGCAATATTGCAAATATTATAAATATTGCAGGAATATTGCAGCAATATTACAAACATATTATTTTAGAGCTAATATTACAAGAATATTGTAACAATATTAGAAATATAATATTCCATAAGTAATATTGCAGAACATTTAAGCAATATTACGAATGTAATATTCCTTTGCTAGTTTCAGAATAATTGTTACAATATTATAATGTATTGTATTTTATAATTATCCAGAAATATTAAGCAGAAATATATTTTTTGATAATAATGTCATTAGCTAAATTAATGAATTAAATATAATAGTAATATAGATATTACAATGGAATTATATCTGAGAGTCAGTGTAATATTTATGATCAACAAATATTTTTATTATAATTATATTAGGCACGCACGCAAGCACGCACACATTAGTACATGTATATATACATATACATGTATATATAACAAAAAACTCACATTATACATAAGAAATAGATCTTTTATCGTTACATAATTTTAATTTTTATTATGTCGTAATGGTATTACAATAAATGTTGTCTTTGTGTTTGGAATTATCCACATTTTACATATTACTTCTTTAACATGCCAATATAATAATTTTTTATCTTCTACAACTACAAAAATTGACAATAGGTCTGAGGAACATGGAATTTCATACAAATTATGGATAATGTTAAATTTTCGTCCTATAATATAAATGTCATTATTTCGTGTCTTTACTACCCTAACAGCAATATTTCAGCAGACTGACGGCAAACTGACGGCAGAATGAATCAGAGGTTTACAGCAGATTAGTGCCAACTGCTTGTCCATTGTGCCCGCATTCTGACGGCAAAATCTGGCAACATTATTTGACGGCAGACTGATGCCAGAAACAAAGCAGATCCTGACGTACACAGTCTAGTGACAGATTGACGGCAAAAACGTATCAGATCCTGACGTACGCAGTTTGGCGGCAGATTGACGGCAGAAATACAACAGATTCTGCAGTGCGCAGTCTGGCACCAGAATGACGGCAGAAACATAACAGATCTCACTGTTCACAGCCTGACAGCAGACTGGTGATAGAAATACAACAGATTCTACCATATTCATTTTTACATCCCCTCTCCCCCCTTCCCATTCAGTCATGCACATTACATGAAAGTAATTATTAAAAAGCAATACAATATACGAACGTAATTGTTTTTATTTATCACACAAGACAAAACGAGACAGCCAATCAGATTCACAATGGTGTTTACCGTAAATGACGGAACACGAAGGCGACGATGTATCTTCTCATAGCCTCAGGAAGTGACGACATACGGTGACTTCGAGACGATGTTGGAGTAACTGATGAAAGGGTTTGTGAACGGTGAAATGGCAATTTGATGCGATATCTGTAAATTGAAATTATATTACAGTTGCATCTTTCTAACTAGTTATGTATAAGACTAGTTATGTATAATATATGTTTAAGTAAATATATGAATTAAAAGTTACATAGTATTAATGTCACAATTTCCCACAGTAAATACAATACACGTGTCGTATTCATAGTGGCATAGCAAATTGCAGCATCGATACATTGTAACTCTTAATAATTGTTGGGATGAGACGGAAAAATCAGAGAAATCTGGATAAAAATATTTACCTGTGTCTCTTGCGTTCTTCGGTAATAGATTCGTCGATCCTCCGTAACATCCGATCCTCCAATAGAATACATTTATATATAATAAATGTTCGAGGTTTGTAATATGTGAGGGTTATCTTGCAATTAAACATTGTTAATATTATTAATATTATGTTAATATTATTAATATTATTAATATTATGTTAATATTATTAATATTAGAATGTATTCACTTACAAAAACAACGAAAGATAGAAATCCTGCAAGTAACAGACACAAATTTACAAAATTAATATTATTTAATAACACATGAGTTGCATTTTATTCTTTATATGTATGTAAAAAATATTAATACAAATACTTTGACATATTTTGAACTGTATATATTCAATTTAATTTTAACCTTTACCGAACACTTAGATTAGCAACACCTTATTAATACACACATCTTTAAATGATATTCTTTCTTGTTCGTATTTTTGAAATTTACAATACTTATTCGGCATTATCTCGTTTGTAGATTTGCAGTTTTACTAACATAAATAGTAGTAGACACATCAGGTGTCACATACGCACTACCACGCACTACTACATACGCATCGGGTATTCACATACACACTACAAACACACACCGCCGCCATGTCTTGGCGGTCTTCATGGCCGAACCGGAAAATGGGCGGGACACAGCTCTTTTGAGAAGTTAGCAATCTAGTATAGTATAGACATCGGTGGATGCTTTCCATTTATATCACTTCTGTTGAAACTTGTGTCGACTTGAGTTAGTTGGAGTCGGTAACTTCAATGTGATAAATGGAAAGCATTTGCGATGCGTAGAAGTTGTTGCGCGAAATACAAACACAGTCATTCATTATTTGTTTTGGGGAAGATTATAATAAGTAATATAAAATTTATTATAAGACATAAATATAAAGGTATATTCAAATTTTAATTATATCATGTAAAAATATTAAATCTATACACACACATATATATATATATATATGATACATATTACACAAACAAATGTAACATGTGTGGCGGTCACGCTACAGCCGGCGACCCAACATGTAATATATTTATTTGTTATAATTTCCTACAATACTTATGTAACATATATATTATAAAACGGTTATATTATTGAATAAGAAATTACAACTAATAGGTATGTTATATTGTGTTTGCTGGGATTTACTACTGTTGATTGAAGAGGTTATGTGTGCATATAACTAATAGATGGAATTTTCTGTGATAGATGGAAGAAGATAATTTGCCTAACGCAATTAATTTCTTGTTGGAAAACAATGAAAGTAGCAGCAGCAGTGATTATAATAATGATGCTATCAGTAATAGTAGTGTTTCTACAGATGAAGACCAAAATCAATTTTTAGAAAATGATTGGTTTCAAGAAGATTTACTGTTTCCCCTTCTTCAGTTATTATTAAACGGTCGTAGAAGAGAGCATGTGCAGAATTTTCTTAACGTAGTGCATGCAAAAAGTAATGTTGAATTTAGAGAAGATTTCAGATTAAGTCGTCCAACTGTATATATGTTATTAGGTAATTATTATTCATAATATTATAATGGTTTTATAATGTATTCATAATAAAGTAATATATCAAATAATTTTCATTATTTGATATTTTCAGAATCTTTAGAGACTAGCGGATTTATACCAACACATGAATTTGGGAAAGAAAAAAAACCTGCGGAATTATGTCTGCTGATGACTCTCTGGTTTTTAAATAACAAAGAACCACATTGAACCCTGTCTAATCTCTTTGATATATCGTTGTCATCTGTATTTCGCATCATACGTCGAGTTATAAATTGGCTAATAACTTTGGTTCCTGATGTCATTACATAGCCTAAAGGAAATCATATAATACGAATATCTCGTGGATTTGAAGAAGTAGCTGGAATTCGGAACTGCGTTGGAGCAATAGATGGCTCGCATATTTATATAAATAAACCCGAGGAAAATAGTAGAATATATTTTAACAGAAAACAGTGTTATTCAATTCTTTTACAGGCTGTTACTGATTGTAACACTAGATTTATTAGCGTATATTGTGGTGATCCGGGGTCGTATCATGATGTTCGAATGTTAAGAAGATCAGAACTTTTTCATTTTGCTGAACAAGAAAGAGAAAATATTTTTCCAAATAATACGTTTTTATTAGGAGATAAAGGTTATAACGGAGTAGCAAAAAAATGGATTGTCAGTCCTTTCAGAGATAATGGTAATCTTACGATTGAGCAAGAAACGTTTAATAGGAAAATATCTGTAACTCGAGTAGTTGTTGAAAAAGTTTTTGGTATTTTAAAAGGTCGATTTCGACAATTACACAAATTACCGTTACGTGATATCCCTTTTATGACTCAGATTATAGTAAGCTGTTGTGTACTTCATAATATATGTTTAGATAGTGGAGATAATGGCAATGATTTTTATGATGAAGATCTCGTTGCAGAAGAACTTAATCCGATACAAAATTATGATGAAAGAGAGGAAATGTTATACGGAGAAAATTTGGATCGTCGAACTTTGTTATTTAGAGAAATATTTCCTTGAAATATTTGCTTAGATTAATTTATATGATATGATTGTTTAAAAGTAAATGAGTACAATAACAAAAATAAAAAAATATATTCATAAAATGGCACTTGTAATCGATTAAGCACACCTCTAAAATATTCCGAACATTTTCCTTTTGCTCTAACAATCAATAAATGACCGTAAAATTCACATGACATAATAATGAGGAAATGTACGTTAAAAAGGAAGATTGTGTGTAATTTAAAAACAATAAGGAAAAATATTTATCTAATAATATTTTATTTTATATAAGAACTTAAAATTATTTTGTAATAAAATATAACATATTGAATGAGCAACTCTTTTGACTTTCATACAACTTAAAGTTTATATTAGTTTATTTTATTTTAATATTTATTTTGTAATCAGTAAACTTATAAATAATAATATATATTTTGTACTTTGTACATGTCTAAATAATATTTTAAAGCAATTATCGAAAGTGAACATAATCAACACAAAATTTCAGTCTTGTCAGCACCTTAAAATTATTTTAAACTTAATTATTATAATTCTTTAATAAATACTTTCAACGTTGGAATAGTTATAACTAATATAAATACATAAATTTTTTTAAACAAAACTAATTTTAAATTCTTTAATCACATTAAACAAAATCTTAATAATATAAAAGAATACTTTTTATCTATTCATTTAGCTTTATCAAAATTATTTTCGCACACATACGTGCAATTATTGCACTGTGTTGAATAGCAAACATTTTCAACTAAATAAGAACTGTTACATTTTTATTAATAACCCATACAGCATAGATCTCCAAGGACATTCTAAAGACATCCTGAAGACGTCTCTACGTTCCTAGAACGTTCCTAAGACGTCCTGAGGACATTCCTTGAGATTTAGTGCTGTTTGGGAACTTTTAAATTATCTTTCTGTACTATTCTTAAAAAAATTTTTTTTGTTCGAATGTTTTCAAAACATTTTACTTTCTTCTATAAGCATAATTAAATATTATTACAAGTAAATAAAAAATATCACTGTTCTTGAATATTTGGTTTAGAAAATACTGCTTCGAGATTGAATAATATTTCTTAATATATCACATTTTTCTTTTTCAGTTCTTTTCTTTCAGTTTCTTTTTCAATAGACATTTTCTCTCGATGTAGCTCTATCTTTTGCCTTAATCTTTGCTCTTCGAATAACATTATCTTCTTTTTCAAATGTACCTTTTCTCTCTTTAATTCAAGTTCTTCCGTTTTTCTTTTAGATTCCATTTCATCAAAATTTTTCCTATCTTCATATTTTTGTTGCATAAGTTGAAGATGTTGTAGCCATTGGTGTTCTAATTCTACTTTTGAACGAGCTATTTGTGAACCTGTTCCATGTTTTCTTTTGTACTGTTTTTCTTTCTGTATATTTTTCGTTACTACTCTTTTCTTCTTCCATGCTGACATTTTCTAATTCATTACTGACTACTTCACTTATATTTTGTGTTTCAGATTGATTGGATACACTATGCTCCAATATTGGTGAGTTAAAGCAATTTTCTTTATTGATATTACCATGTATATCACCTAAAATATCCATTAATCGCTTTTCAAATTCATCGAACATCTTTGGAGCATTTCCACTTCTACAATTGTGATCTTTCTTTTTATTATATGATTTTTTTAACGCACTAAATTTCCATCTAACTTGGTCACCTGTTAACTGCAGAGATGAGTTAAAAAATACATATAGTACATGTAAAGTAATAAATATAATATAATGTTTTATAAACTTACTGGTGCATTAGATAATGAGAATTCATTAAGGTCAGTAGCTATAGATTGCCAAAATCTTTTATTTTTTTTTGTATTATCCACTTCAATATTTCGAGCTTCATAAGCAGACAGAAGAGCAAAAGTAGCTTGCTTAGTCCATATAAATTTACACTCCTGCAATTCTTGCTGTAAAATTGTTGCATCCGGCCTTCTTTGTATTTGCTGTCCATTAATATAACTATTTTCTTGGGACAGATTGATAGAATCCGCTTTTTGTTGTACATTATTACAATTTATACTATTTTTATCAATATTCTTGAAAACAATTTTTCCTGCAGTTTGCAATGCTTGCAAGTCCTTCATTGAAATAGTCTACAATATTACAAAACCAAAAATTAGAAATAAATAGACAATTAAACAATTAGAAATAAATAACTTACATATACTTTTATCGAGTATTTCAATAATTCAATTTTGCTGTTATCACTATTCTAAATAATATATTTTATACAAAACAAATATAATATTAAAAAAGCATTACAAATAATTATGAAACAAATATTTGTTTTATATACCTTTATTGCCATTATTATATGAATATATTTTTCTTTTCGGTTGATACACGATTAATATACAATGTCGGTATAATCAAGACTATAGTGATTTTACATATTTATTGTACTCTAGGACTTTTTTCTTCGTCTATATTCGCAACTTCGCTCAATCCTCAGCAAAAGCAGAGTTATTCCAAGTCGACTTAAGTAACCAACACATTGCGACACAAATTAAATGGAAAGCAGAAATGACACTAGAAGTCGACTTAAGTCGACTTGTGTCACTAAATGGAAAGCACCCTGTGTTGCTGAATGAAAATACTGCGTTCTGATTGGTGCATTTCCATTCATCTTCGGAAATGTACCAATCAGAACGCGGTATTTTTATCCAGCAAGCAGTCCAACACGAAAACAAGCACCGTGTGCTGCTGGCTTTAATTTGATTGAGATGGTAAGTTAGTTTCTACGTTTTTTTATTTCTCATTACGATATCAACTATTAACTTAAATATGCAAATATATTTAATAATTAATGTAAAATTAATATATTTTACTCACATTATTTGCCATTTCACCGGTAATATTGTTGCAACTTCGTACTTACGATGTAAATGTATGTGCAATATTACATGCAAATGTATTTCATTTTAATTATTTTTCTTGTTCTGTGATTGGTCCAAGTCACTGATTCCATACGTTCCTTTTATTTAACTTACTACCGACTAAAACTAGCGGAAAGGCGATTCCGCTCGGAATCCATAATAGCATAAACGCACGAGCAGAATTTCAATCGGAAACTCGCCAGTCGGAATCTCGCGTTTCCGAGCGGAATCGTAAAAAGTTCTATAATAGGTACTTTGGTCTCATCGATAACTTCGGAAGGAACTATATAAGTAAGGTAGAATTTTGGAACGTATCATATCGGCCATTGTAATATCTATAGTCTGTTTGTCTGTTTAGATGCGCAGTTAACGAGTTGTATGATCGTGTTGAAATTATAGCTTTCACAACGGCTTTTCCAACAGTTTTGAAGGCGTATCTGATCCACGAACTTGCTCGCCGGGCTGTTCCAGCCCAGGGGAGCAAAGAAATGTCAATACGGACGGCAGTTCATAGACTTGTGCAAAATGGTCGGATCGTCCTACGCTCATTGCAAAATAAGCCCTATTCGAACGGATACGTATATAAACGTCTCAACAAGATACACGTTGCGCAGGCGAGTAAGTTACATCTGATGACCTTATTTGCAGTAAATAGAGTCACGAAATTCTTCGTGTCATGAAACCTCAAAATCGGTGTAAAACGAAACCACCATATATAATTTTACTTCAATTTTGTATTTTGATCAAGAGTGTGGCTGTAAACATATTTATTTCTATTACCAAGTGTAAGATAATATGCGCCCTAAATTAATTTATAATGGAAAGTAAGACATCTTTGTAGGGAAAATTGTAAGGATAAGACGTATCACTGTTTACTGGACAATTTGTGTAAAAAATATCGAATTTAATCACAACATTATTGCTAAATTTAGAATACTTCGTGAAAACACAGTAATCGAACAAATTAACATACTGTGATGTTAAATTACATTTCCTAATATTTCTTGTTTATTTTGATAAGGTGAGTCCCAAAATAGCCTTCTTTGCCAGAATAGTGGCAATGTATCAAGCACAAGCAGGCATCTTGGTTATTTGGGAACACATGCACGACGTATTTTTGTCGATAACATCTTAAAGAGAGTAACAAATAGTCTTGCAGCTGATTTACGAAGACGTGCAGCAAGCAGACTTGTATTTGGTGATTCTGCGCCATTTTTTGCTCTTGTCGGTGTGTCATTAGCATCAGGCACTGGTATATTAACCAAAGATAATGAGCTGGATGGAGTATGTTGGGAAATTCGAGTTGAGTTTGCATTTTTTTAATAACTAAACCAAACAAATATTATTTGTCCTTATTAATATTTTGAATGTCCTGAAGATGTAAAATATGTTTTGTAATATAATATATGGTACCTAGGAAGCAGTTTCTAAATTACGTTGGAATATGCCACAAAATGACAAGAATTATAAAATTATCTCAAATGAAGAAAATACTGTGACTTTACAAAACTTTGTGATTGGACCCATCATTGCTAAAGGTTGTTCTGCAGCTGTCTACGCAGCAAGATTTGTAGACGCTAAGGTGGAGAAAAATAGCAATTCAATCAATATTGATACTGAAGCAAAAGACAAAAATACATTCCCATTTGCTATTAAAATGATGTTCAATTATAATACAGAATCTAATGCTGCTGCTATTTTGAGGGCCATGTATAGGGAGACAGTACCTTCTAAAAATTGTTGTATAAGTAACAACATAACTCATTGGGAACGAAAATTAATAGAAAATAAAACAATATTACCATCTCATCCAAATATTGTGGCTATGTATAATGTTTTTGCTGATAAAATACCAATATTACCTGATTCTTGGGGCATGTATCCTGATGCTTTACCAACTAGAATCAATCCTCATGGATCAGGCAGGAATATGAGTTTATTTTTGTTAATGAAAAGGTTATTGTTGAATGGAACAAAATTATATTTATAATTTTATATTTCATATATATGTTACATTCTGATATATGTTATATCATTTTAGATATGATGTTACATTGAAACAATATTTGGTAAGTCGAAAGGTTGATATGCGTGTATCAATATTGTTACTTGCTCAGCTATTGGAAGCGATAGCTCATATGAATGTGAATGGCATAGTGCATCGGTAAGAAAATAATTACTTGTTCATCTTATATGTTATATATATGGTAACATCGACAAGTTGAAAAGTAAGAATATATTAGTGTATACAATGATATCAATTTTATATTTTATCTTTTATAATATTTATGAAATAGAGATCTGAAAAGTGACAATATTTTACTCGATTTATCGGAAGAAACTGATAATTGCCCATCTCTGGTTGTAACGGATTTTGGCTGCTGTTTGGCTGATAAGGATTATGGACTATATTTGCCTTATAACACTCATGATATCGATAAAGGTGGCAATGTTGCATTAATGGCACCGGAAGTAATAACAGCAATACCGGGACCTTTCACTAAAATAAATTACACAAAAGCTGATTTATGGACAGTGGGCACCATAGCATACGAGATATTTGGCACCAAAAACCCATTCTATAGTGAAAATGGTGAAGAAGTTTTAAAAAATTATAGTTATACCGAAAGTGAACTTCCTATGTTACCTGAGAATATGCCACCTATTATTAATGCCGTTATAAAAAATGCATTGTCAAGAAGTTTATATAAGGTTTGTAGAGTAAGAGAAGTAAAGTTAGAAAAGTATATTCATAAACAGTTAAAACTATATTCTTGAAATTAAGTGATAATAAAATATTTGCTTGTATATATGTATGCAGCGACTTGATACACAACTTGCGGCGACCATAATGCAACTTTATCTATGGGCACCTAGTTCGTGGCTAAAAAATGTGGTTCAATTACCAACTAGCAATGAGGTAACATATATAGCGAATAATTTTAATATATTTAAAAAGGACCTAAATAAGATATGAATCTGAATTTTGATATATTTTTGTGATAGATTATGCAATGGCTTTTGTGTTTGACTACAAAGATTCTTTGTGAAGGACGAAGTGCAGATTTTTCTTCATCACATGGGTTACTCAGCAATTCAGAATATATTGATGAAAGTAATACATATAAACAAATGAATTCAACACATCCTTATGGAAGACGCACAATGCCAGAATATCAATTAATTGCTAGCTTTCTTAGCAGGATAACACTTGGTAATATTAGAAACGCATTAAAATGGATAAAACAAAATGTATAATTATGAATATATATAATGTATGATTACGAGCGATGTACAATTAAGAACGATACAAATTTATAGTTATATATTATATATTTCGAGAAAGATAAAAGATAATTAAAATTTTACATGGGTAGTTATTTATTTACGGAATATTGACTAATGACTCAAAATAATGAGAATATGCAATTTCGAGAAGATTGGCAAAGTTTATTCTCTATTTAGTATAACTTTATTATTATTATTATTATTGTTTCCGTATTTAATTCTCGGTATTTTATTTTCATAAGTTGTCAAATATAAAAAGATAAATTATTTCGAAGAACATATATAAATAAATATGTAAGTACGTATATAAATAAATATAATGTAAATTGATCTCAAAGAAATACTGGCCAGCATAAATCCTCTTGTTTAATGCCTTATAATTAAAGGAAAGTCGATGTTGTTTTTATGTTCTTTTTATAAATTTAATTTGAATATCATGCCTAATTTATTTCAATTCATTGGCAATTGGTAATCAGGAAAAGAGTAAGGAAAAAAGAAATATGACAGAAAAAATTAGATCATTAATATTAAAATAAAATGTGATATTTTAACACACAATATAATACATGAAAGTCTAAGAGTGCCGTTCTATATAGAACGGAGAAGCAGAACGGAAAAAGTCTAGTGGGGATTAACTAATGAGAATAATTATTGTCAGAGATTTCTTCTATGGCTGTGTTCTGATAGAGCACTAGATATACAAGGTCTGCCAAAAGTTCCGGAACGGCTAATTATTTAAAAAAATAATTGTTTAAAACAATGTTTGAAACAAGAGTTGTAGGACTTAAAAAAAGCTATCAGATATTGATAATTGTTTGACCTTGGAATGACCTTGAGAAATGTTATCAAGGTCGACAAAAATCTTAAATGGAAACTCGAATTTTTTATTACACCGTTTTTTTCCACTAATTAATTTGAACAACTTGTTTGAAACATTTTTTTATTTGCCTAATATTTTTTTAGATATTTAAGGATAACTTGGTAACTTTTTTAATATTTAACTTGCGATATCTCGCTAACCGTTTGTCGGGATAAAAAAATGTTACTAGACTTTTCTATTCTACTTGGTCTCAAGAATATATTACAATAGCGCCTTGACTTTTGTTAATTTGATGATTTTGAAATTTCGGAAGATCGATAAATTAACAAAAAATAGAGCATTATTGTACCAATATATTTTTGAGATCAAATAGAATAAAAAATTTTAGTACCATTTTTTATCCCGACAAACAGCGAGGTATCGTAAGTTAAATATTGAGAAAGTTACCAAGTTATCCTTAAATATCTCAAAAAATATTGGGCAAATAATAAAATGTTTCAGACAAAAGTTGTTCAAATTAATTAGTGGAAAAAGATGGTGTAATAAAAAATTCGAGTTTCTATTTAAAATTTTTATGTCGACCTTGATAACGTTTCTCAAGGTCATTCCAAGGTCAAACAATTATCAATATCTGATAGCTTTTTTTAAGCCCTACAACTCTTGTTTCAAACATTGTTTCAAACAATCATTATTTTTTGAAATAATTAGCCGTTCCGGAACTTTTGGCAGATCTTGTACAGGTATTCGCATTAAAATCAAGAGACACGGCAGTGTCTCGCGCCAAGTGCACGCGAGAGCGACGCGACGTGCACGGGCCGCGAGACCGGCCGGATATCTTTACACGAAACACTTAAGGCTCGTCTACATTAGCTGTAAGAGTAAGGCTGTAAGGCTGTAACGTAAGCTGTCAGCGAATGAAAATATTTCATTTCGTGTCTTGCAACCTTACAGCCTTACTCTTACAGCTAATGTAGACGAGCCTTTAAGGTCATTCTACAATACGTGTCGTAAGTTGTAAGCCGTAAGAATTGGCGAATCACAGTCGATTATTACAAAAATAATCGGCTATAATTGGTCAGTTCTTACGGCTTACAACTTACGACACGTATTGTAGAAGACCTTTAGTTGATCGGAGGCAAGATTGGGAGCTTTCCGGCAAGGAGACACAAATAGACACTGTGTCACACTGTGTAAGAGCCAGCGGCACACGGTGCTTGTTTTCGTGCTGGATTGCTTGCTAGATGAAAATACTGCGTTCTGATTGGTGCATTTCCATCCATTTTCGGAAATGTACCAATCACAACGTAATATTTTCATCCAGCAAGCAATCCAGCACGAAAACAAGCACTGTGTGCCGCTGACTTAACACAATGTCTGAGTGCTTAATGGAACGCTTTTTGATTCTCGATACAGTCACTAGTTGGTGCTAACTGAAGTTTGGTTGCTTTATTCTCGAACATAACCTTTAATTTACAGATTAATATTTGTCAAATAAAGAAGTCCGGAAAAATTACATAAAATAGGACAACAGTATAAGTATTCCAGGTTCATTAAGAATAGACACATAGCTTCAGGTACATACGCCTGAAAGCATACTTTTCCACCAGCCGGTAGTAGTTTAAAAAAATGAGTATTTGCAGTACTTATTAAAATATAGTATCTGTTAATTTAAAAAAAAAGAAGGCAATTTGCATTTTTACATAACGGTAAATTTCATTACAACGTTAATAATGTATTCATTAATTAAATGTTTTAAAAATAACTTTAAAATTGATATAAATATAATCTTAATACTAACTTTCTTAATGTTAACAATTTATAAACAGATGGATCGGCTAGAGATGAAACAATTAATAAAAACGTTCAGTACTTCGAATAGTGATGAATCAAACACTACTATATTCCAAAGCAGTAATGACAATAGCTTGACATCAACAAGTATTGAAGAGGAAAATGAAGATGCCTTATTGTTTCTTTTGATACACTACTTAATGAATACTAGAAGAAGACATCGTATTGAAAATTATCTACAAATCGTTGATTTGTGGACAGATATAGAATTCAAAGAACATTTACGGTTAACTCGACATACACCTTTAATTTTAATGGAGGAGTTAGAATTATCAGAATATATTCCATCACATTCTTTTGGCGTAAGACCGATATCAGCAAAACTAAGTTTTTTACTGTTTTTATAGTACATAGCTAACACAGAACCATTACGAACTATATCTGACAGATTTAATATTTCAATCTCTTCTGTTTTTCGGGTTCTTCGACAAGTTGTAGCTTGGCTTTTAACAAAACTAGATGTGGTCATTAAATGGCCATAAGAACACGAAGTTATGATTACATGCGAAAAATTTAGTACAAAACGAGGGATGCATAACGTTTTAGGCGCAATAGATAGTACTCACATTCAAATTATAAAACCTACTTCTAATGCACGAAATTATTGTAATCGGAAAAAATTTTTTTCTATAAATTTACAAGCCGTTGTAGATGCAGATATGCGTTTTAATAATATATATTGCGGTTAACCTGGTTCTCTGCACGATACACGGGTATTCAGGAGATTACTTTTATATGAAACAGCTACTGTAGATAAAAGTTTATTATTTCCTAATCATACATTTCTGTTAGGTGATTCGTTATATCCGTGCTTATCATGGCTTGTTCCACCCTTTCGGGATAATGGACATCTAACGCCTCAACAAACATAATTCAATTTTATGCATTCATCTATACGAATAATCGTTGAAAAAGCATTTGGACAATTGAAAGGACGTTTCCGTCGTAATAAAATTTTTTACAGAATACCGCGACATGACGTTCACTACTAATACAGTGATTGCAGCTGACATACTCCATAATTATTGCATTGATAACAATGATATTTATGATTTTTCCGAATATAATGACATTGATTGTATAAATGTATATAATAATGAACTTAATATTCCTAATTATGAAGTAGGAGTAGATCGCAGAATGTGCTTATTCCCCAGATAGCCAAGCCTGCGCGAGCAAATCTCGAACGGAGTTTAACCTCAACTGTTGATCGCAAATAGGCACCAAATTTAAAGCAAGATTTATTATATCAAATTCTGCTGTTAAACTGCGGTCAAATACGCGACAAACCTTGACGTAAAGCATTTGATACAAATTTGCAGCAAACAACACTCAAACCTTGCGCGCATAACTTGGCAGCAAGTTGGCGGCAACACCGGAGCAGCATCTTGAACTCAAGACTTGAGTGCAAGTTGACAGCAAATTCGCAGCAACGTTTGCACAAAAACAGCTGATCGCTTTAAATGGCGCGCATGGCGTATATAACCTCAGTCGTTAGGATAGAATTGGTATTTATGAATAAACAAGTTAGAACCGACGTTTGTGAGAAGTAGACAAGAAATGTATATTTTATTTTGTAAAAATATGAAATACATATTTTATATAAATAATGTTTGCGATGTAACATAAATCTTGTCAAAAAAGATTTTAAATGGACGTTGCGAATGCACCTTTTATATTGTCGCCTTGCTCCCGTTAAGCCCCTTGCACAATGCCAGGCAACAGGCAATAAGAATAAAAATAGACCAATCACAAAAGATTATTCTTGTAATAGTCGATTGTGATTGGTCTATTTTTATTCTTGTTGCCTGTTGCCTGGTATTGTGCAGAGGACTTTACAGTGCAAAGGACTTTACAGGACTTAGCGCTTTGTATCTTTCTGGACAACATATATGTGTAAAACCGGGACATAAGAAGCCTTTTAAACGTCTTTGAATCGTTTTAAAAACATCATGCAAAGAGACGCCTTTAAAATGTCTAAAATAGAATCTACATTGGTCGTATCGTAGTATCGCAGCGTTGTAACAAACATTACAACGCTGCGACACTATGATACGACCAATGTAGATCCTGCGTAAGGAAATGAACCAGTCTTTCATTTCAAGCGTGGTGATAGAAATGAGAATTTTGATTGATTTATTTCCTTATATATTATTTATTATGCCTATGCAAAAGTGCGTGCTTCCCGCTTAACTCGTTATTGAAGTTAACGACGGTTTCATTATTGTTGCGCAGCGTTTCTACGTATACAAAAGATACATAACGATAACGAAACTGTCGTTAACTCTAGTAACAAAAT